CAATTGACTTTTGCGTGCGGCCGTCCGCGAGTGTAACTTGCGTAGGTTGCGTCTTCCTTCGAACGCGCGGGCCATAGAGGCTTGGCTCATAAAGTTGAGAGACGCTCCGCAATCAATCAAGGCACTACAGGTTGCCTTTCCGATTTGAATGCGGATATAGAGCAAAGGAGCGTCGGTTTTGGCGTACCTTTGGGTGGCGTACTCGCGGTCAATCTTCGCAAGATAGGAGCGGAGATCGACAAACGGTACCCCGTCGTCCGTCAATGGAGCTGGTACTGTAGTGTGCAAATAGGAGCGTAGATTTGCCATTAAGGCGTTCCAATGCGGCCTTGACAAGGTTCCGGTTGAGGGTAGAGGCATCCAAGCGAAGTCCTCTTTCGTGAGCGGGTCAAGCTCCTCAAGTCTTGACCACGCCGTCGAGTCCTCGAAAATTAGTGGCGAGCTGACCGGATCACTTGCCGACGGTGTACAGGTTGAGCATACGCAATCTAAGTGCACGTGGTTCGGCTGGTCTAGTGGTGGTACCAGCTGGGCGGCATAATCCTCGTACGTAGCACGAGAATCAGCAACTAACGCATGCTCCCCGGTAGTAACATCGATTGCTAGCAAGGCAACCGGTTCCGGCGGAGTGAGGAGAGACGTCGCCTCTCTCCTTGCGCAACTCAGTTTCCCGAGTTTGCTGGACGGGGTACACGTGCCTCGCCCTTTTCAGGGCATTGTGCGGTCAAGTGAGTGACACCATTGCACCAAAGGCAATATCCGTACCGTTGACGAAGGTCATATACTTCCTTGGTTATCTTGTATGCCGTCCATGGTTGCTGCCCAGTTCCTGTTGATGTCGTCGCGTCTGTCGCCTTGTTCTTCCGAACTCTCTTGGGATGCTTCGGCGAGAGCGCTACAAGAACTCCTTCATCACCCGAGGATGCTGCTGCAGCGTGGAGATCAACTGATTCATCAGGTATCACGACATTGTTATGTGCCGGTCGTTGATAGCCCTGCTTAGCCACGTAGTGCGGCTGGGACTGTTTCTCGTTAGCGGCCTTCTCGTCCGTCTGGATGACTAGGTTCGCACGATCCAGAATAGCCTCGAATGAGGCATAGTTGTACTCGTTGCCGAGTGTCGACCGCAGTCCTGCGCACGATCGCGAGAAAAACTCGGATCGTTGGTTTGGAAAGCTCAAATCGAAGCCTGGCGTGGTCACTATCTTCTGCCACTTGATTGTCCAGTCTCGAGTTGGCATGCTTCCTTGTGAGCTGGTGTACACCTCGTTCATGGCCACCTTCACATCGTTGTGGACCATGAATCGAGTGAACCATAGTTGCTCGAACTCCTTCCACGTAATGTGCGTGTGGAGTTCGGCGATGGTGCATTGCTTGGTGGCCGCAAGGTGGTTCATCCATGCCTGTGCTCCTCCAATCAGTTGTAGGTAGAGCGCCTTCAACATGTCTTCAGCCGGGACAGTGCGGCAGGATGCTTCCGTGAGGAAGCCTTGCCACCATGTCAGGGCGTCTGTCTTGTTGTAGTCGTCGAACTTGCTGATGTTGAAGTGCGGCATCTTGTAGTTCTTTGTAGCGGCGTCCGGTCTTGTCTGCAGCTTGGTGATGTCCGTCTTGATGGCGGCCACCGTGCTGCTGATCGTGTCCGTACCCGTGAAAGCACCTAGGTCGCCGATGAGATTGACGACATGGTCGATGCGCCCGTTGAGCTGCTTCGCCGTGTTTGTCGTGTGGCCTGGCGCCGCTTGGGAAGGCCTTGCCTCCAGAGTAGTAATGCGGGCGTCCAACTGTTTCAGCTGGGAGTCTGCGACCTTAACGGCTGCTGCAAGCATCTTCACGTTATGGGTGAGATCGCTTTGTAGCTGCTGTGTAGATCTGGAATGAAGTTCCCCCATGGTGCTGTTCCAGATGACGGCACGCATTGTATTGAGTAGAATGTCTGCCAGGTTTTGTCTCTCCTGTTGTACTGTGGTTGGCTCGGCGCCTGCTACAGGGACATAACGCATCCCGTTGAGTACCGCTGTCCACTGATCTTGTTGAGAGATCAGAAGCTCGGCACTGTCGGCGTTGAGCTGGTCAGTCGCCAACTGCGCCGCCTCAGCTTGTTGCTGGGCGCGGGCTGCAGCTTCTGCTGCTAGCCGTTGTTTGTCTGCTTCAGCAGCATCTTGCCATTCCTTGGCAAGGGTTAGTGCAGCCGTATAGGTCTGCACTCCCTGAATATAGTCCGCGATGGGCTCACTCGGCCCTTGAGCAGGACAGACCGGCAATGGTTCGACATTGCTAGATGTCGACGTCTCGGATGACGTCCCGCTGTTCGGCGTGTTCGCCATCTGAGTGTTGGTCTGTGGCTGCTGTCGAACTGCAGGTTGCTGTTGCTGTTGGCGATCTGCGATCCTCCTGCTGCGTCATGGCTGCTGTTCGGTGGCTTGCCCTGCTGGCATCAGTGAACTGCTGCTGAAGGCTGGCTCGTCCGAATGGTCGGAGAACAGTGAGAGGGAGAGGGTGGGTACAGGCGTAGAATAGATCAGGCAATTCACATACAGTCCCTGTCCCAATGATGGACTTTAGACACCTAATCAAACAGAAAAGATAAACTTTCCCGAAAACAACTCGAAAATTCGTAATAAGGAAATAATAATCAATTAAATTCAATTAATAATCAATAAAGTTTAATTAATGATTAATAATGAATTAATATTTCTTATCAATAAAACAATAATTGCAATAATGATAATTACCGAATTTAAATTGTAAAGATTAGGTATCCGTTGAGATCATCTATAGTCCGGGAGTTCACCGTTGAATAGTGAACTACCCGGAAGTTGCGACTCTGGGGGAACAATTATGAACAGTTTGCCAAAAAAAAAATTCGGAAATTTAGGAAGAAAAACACTCGAATTTTCGAAAAACGTAAAATTTCGGGAATTCGAACCTACAAAATCCGATTTTTAAAGGCCTAAGTCCGTTTTCGGAATTTTTCAAACTTAGGGAAAGAAAAAAAAATCGCGAAAATTTCGGAGTCCAACCCTAATTTTCCGCGATTCCGCGGAATTTCCGGTATTACGGTTCCAAAACCTTTGAATTTCCATCGTAACCCTAATTTCCAATACCGAAATAACACGGAAATTCCGATTGAGAAAAACAAAATACAGGATTTAAAACAGAATGCCGAAATTAGAAACGGAATGCCGAATTGAAAATCAGAATGCCGAATTAAACAGAATACTGCTTTAAACCTAATAACGCATTAGCATCAGAAATCCGAAATAAACAGAATATCGGATTAACCAGAATACCAATTAATTGGAACCCGAATGGCACTCGAGCAGCGTCCCAGTGTTCGATCCCTCAGAATGAGGCCGGACCGGTCTTTAGTACCGGTGGGCAGGAGGCCGGCCTCAATGCTGCGAGGCCTGGCCGTGACCTGAACCGTCGAGATCGTCGGTTCAGATCACACCGGCGGGCGGCAGCCTCAAGAGCGCCGCCAGGCCCAAACGGTAATGTCGTTTGGGCCTGCCCGTCGGGTCTGGTCCAAAGATGCGGCCTTTCGGCCTGCTGTACCCCAAGTCTGGGCCTTTAGGCTCTACTGTGTCCCTCTGGCCCTAAGTCGGGTCCTGTGGCGTCGAAGATGTAACAGTGTGTGTGTGTGTGTGTGTGTGTGTGTGTGTGTGTGTGAGAGAGAGAGAGAGAGAGAGGGCAAGGGGAGGAGGATTAGGGGGAGTCGGCCTTTTGCGTCTCTTTTTTTGCGTGTGAGAGAGTGATAGGGAGGACGGTTATGGGAAAGTCAGGAGTGGGGCGCGCGCGCGCGCGCGCGCGCGAGAGAGAG